ACAATTTACTTTATAACCCCTTACTTATAAAATTAAATGGGAAATAAAGTAACATAAAATAGTTATAAAAAGGTTTCTATACTCGTTAAAAATGGTGCAATATCAGAAGTTATTCTTCAGAGGCCTAATGAATGGAAAAATGTCAGAATTTAAACTTCTTTGAGTTTCTCTAGCTCTTGGTCATATGATCCCAAGTTATTAGCCTATAGGAATATAATTATTTTTCGTTGAAAATAAAATAAAATAAATTCGACGGACTACACCAGCAGACTCACCCAAGAGCAAATTGTGCGCCTGTTCTGACATCTGAAAGTGAACAGTTACATCAGATTCGATATCCTTCTGCTTCAGCTGCTCCCTCAGGTCTTCAATTTCACGCTCCTTTGAGTACAACAGACAGTGCTGATTTTTGATTATATTCTCATAATACATGGCGTAGCTGGGATAAAATGGAGGAAATGAGAAGTAGAAATGCAAGAGCATAAAAATTAAAAATATTAGTTATGCTATTTTGGTTGGGTCTGCCTTATTTTCTAAAGTTACTTCATTGTTATGGTATGATGGGGGATGGTTGGACTTACTAGAATATGACGGCTGATTACCTTTGCTCTGCTGACCTTTGATTGTACTATAAAGTTACGTAAAGACCAGTTCAGGTTTATTCATAATAAGTCAGTGCTCGTAACTATAAAGATGGGAAAATAACCTGTTACTATTTAGTAACCTACTCAAGATCTACTGCTAGCCTGGAAAATCTACTGATTTTGAATAATAGTAGTATTGTCGAAAATGCCATTTTCAAAATTTTGTTTCGGAGGCTTGGCTTGCCTTGGAAGTCACTTGTGCCATGTGACTCACCCGCATCCGTGACAATATAGATTAGCTGCAACATGTCGAATGCAAACCTTACACTACTCGGATTCGGCAGTCCAGCCCATTCTGGAGGAAAATGCTTTCTGGGCAACAAGGTCTAGTTAAAGTAAATGCATCTTGTGGCCTCTTTATGTCATTGTTTGAAAATTCACTACCAGTTCCTCAGCATCCTAATTAAACTAGGATAAACAAACGCCCTATTTCATCTAAGATAGTAAGGAAACTGATAGTTGAATTTTTCCACATTCATATGAATAAACCTCACATTTTCATTGAATTTCACATGGGCCTGCTTCACAAAAGATATTCTCAAAGCAAGGCTACGGAAAATGCAATGGAAAATTCATGTCTATTCATATCATTGTAGGAAATTTCAACTACCAGTCCCCGTATAACCCTAAACCAAATTGGATGGATACATTTATATATATGATCTATTTGTAGTTTCAAAAACATTTTAATCAAAAAGAAGGATGAGTAAAGTCCTTATTCAAGCTCAGCTTTAATTTTTTTGATACCACTGAGGAGATATTTATTAAAAATGAATCTCATACCAACCAAGACGATTAAACCCTAAGTCATAAGACTGATTATCTCTATTTAATACGCCAAAAAGGATCACAAAAAGAATAACTAGAATGATTTAATTTAGAGTATGAAAACTATTATAGAGGTCCTTATTTTGGTTGCAGAATTATTTTACAGCACATTAGCGATTTGACCTCTCTTCCACAATTTTTTCGTATCGTTATAGCGATCTAGGCGAACACATCACATATGAAGTCCACTTCCGTAATAGTAATGTCAAATTGCATCGTCGGACCGTGGAAGTGATGCATTCCAAGAAGCTTCGCTGGCATCCACATTGAGCCTTGCTTGTCTTGGCAATTGGCAACAACTCGGCAAAAAGGCTAGAGCAATCTAGCCCTAGAGTTACATTGTGCTGAATAGTTTTAACATTTTTTCTTCCACTCTACTATATCCACCCATCCAATATTATCGTATTATCTATTTTTATTATAATACCTATTAACTTGTCTGGGTAACCTTTGCTAAAGGTGAAACTTGGCTCCCCTTCAGTCTACAATTTACTTTATCCAGGTCTTATCAGTTTACCTCATGCCTGGACTATTCATGTCTTATCTCCCAGTCCAACGATCAAACTCGGTCGCTGGTTTCATACCTCATGTAGCTTCAGTGATCCGCCTTAAACATTTGATATCACGTATATTCTAGTACTAAGAAGAGGTCCCCAAAGTCTGGATTTTCAAGCTAAATCAAAGATTAACGTAGCTCTGTAGTTTACCCTTATCTCAATTTAGACTGTAAGCATGGAAATGTGGTGGCCTCTCTTTACTTCACGGATCATATCTATGCTTAAACCTGTGTACTATGAACCAACTATTTCGAACCTCAGCCGCATCTCCCATGTGGAGTTCTGGTTCAAATCGCCTTACCCTTTTATCCATAAGGCCAAATGTATGAATTCTATATTCCAAAATTCATTGTGTAACAACCACAAAACTCTCCCCCCTCCCCCCTTCCTCCCCAGAATGTCTAACTTTTCAGAAAGAACACATGGTGACTAAGTTACGTTGTCAATCCCATATCACCAGGTATAGGTCCATAAATTGATATTCTATCAAATGGCTATTATTTTCAATTAAGCTCAAAGGAAAATTATCTTCAAGACATAAATATTCTAGCATATCTAAGTCTCCATTTAGATTATTTCGATCAGAAAATCTTATACTCGTTATTACCGATGAATGAAAGATTGCAAACTTTGTCAAGTATTTATGGTTAAAAATAAAAGTGCATAATATGACCAGCATATGCAGGTTATCTATAAATCTGTCTGTCCATGTTTCCATCAACTTACCACTTTATTTACATTATTATTACTTCACGCTAATTAAGTTGGGAAGATAGAAATAAGCTAAACTATTAATATTGTACCAACAAATAAGAAAATATTGATTCATATGCCCAGTTAAAAATTGTATAATCAGACCTTCCTGATTAAATAAATTTTTTAATGCAATTATTCGCCAAAATGAAAGCTGAGCAGAATCATGCGTAATACGTAATGTTCGCGATTACCATTAAGTCTAGAATAGTAACTTAGTCAACCTAGATCGCCTAAAGTGATTAAGGGAATGTAAGTTGAGTTTTCACGCACACTTAGATGAGTGGGTCTCAGAATGTCACTAAATTTCACACTTAGTCTTGCCTCCCAAAAGTCTATCTCGTTCCGATTAGACTGGACTCGACTCAACTGCAGTTTATAACTCACCTCAACTGGTCTCATCAGCAGGCCCGGGGTTTCCAAATCCTCAACTTGAGTATCCTCACAGTCACAAACACGTTGTACCATTCAGAGCAAGCTATGCCTCTATAAAATCAAACTATTATTATTAAGCCAACATGTATTTGCTTTTGCCATCGATTCTAAGTACAAGTAAACATTGAATGAATCAGAATTTCTTTTATACGAACTTGATCATCATGAGCTGTTTTCCGCGATTTAAAGGATGATAGATGCGTATCCCGAAAATGAAATAAATATACTTTTAGGCTTGAAAAATCTGTACCTGAGTAACCAGTTTGGCTGAAGGGCAGGTAGTAGAAAGTTCCCACAATCATGCGAGTAGATCTAAATTTTTCATTTAATTTCACATAGCCTTGTTTTGCCTAAAAGCATTCTCACTTAGGCTCAAGAAATCGCAGTTAAGACCTCGCCCACGTCTCGCCCAGCGGGACTCGAACCATCACAGTGTAGCCACTTTGCCACGAGTGCTCCTGGGTTACAGGACAGATTTGAATTTCAAGCAACGCCAGACATTTTCCCATATCACATTATGTAGTGAGATTATCGATGATGTTAAGTTATACTTGTTATAAAAATCGACAAAATAAATTATTTTTAGTTTCATAACCAGGTTTTCTAACTAATATTAAATTATATATATATGAGACAAAAACCCATATGTAACATGAAAAATAAACAATTCAATCGATTGATATAGAAAATACAACTCTGCTTCGTCGACAATCCCATCATAGAATGTGATAGGGAGAACTTCCTTGCCTTCTATGACATTTACATATGCCATGTGATCCATGGCTATTCGTTGCAGTGTGGCGTATCGGTTAACGCGTCGAACTCATGCACTGCACTGCCATGCTTCGAGTCCTGACGGGGGTTTCGTAAAGACCCAGGCGAGGTTGAAACTGCAGCTTACTACAGCCTGGGTTAAAATATTTTTGTGTGAAAGCAAGGCTACGCGAAATTCAACGTAAATGTAAGTTTTACCCATATTATGGTGGAAAAATTCAACTACAAGTCCCCTTAACATCCCAAACGAACTATGATGATTACATCTCAGACTGGTGCTGAGAATCCCTACATGCCATATTCTCGCTTGCTTTAAGTGACTCATTTGAGAGACCTTGAGTCTTTCATCAATTATTGAAGAAATAGTTGGTCACTCTAGATCACTTAGGCTGATCTAAGGGAGTAGTGGTTACCGTGTCGAGATTATACGCTGTACTATCAGGGTTCGAGTTCAACTGGGATTGCTGATGATATCTAGGCTAGGTAAAAACTGTACTTTGCCCTAGATCAGGATATCCTTTAGAAATCAAGGCCATATGAAATCCAATGGAAATATGAGATCTACCATTAAGATTGTAGAAGGATTCAACTAGTAGTCATTCAAAGTTTTATCACCAAATAGAATAAATATAGTTTTTATATTATCTACTAAACATTTCATCACACTACGTCGCTTAGTATGATCTAAGGGCTATTAATTTGGGTTTCCGATTAATTTGAATGCTAATACCATGCTACCATTGAATTTCTTTTAGCTTTGATCGTCCTAGCTGGACGGCTGTTTTTATCTCGCCACATTCGCATCAGCACCTATAAGCAGGTTTGCAACCGCATCGTTGCGATATGTCAGCATTCAGTTGTCAGTGGGTCAATGGACGGATTAGGCATTCAAGGCAATTATAACTTCTAGTGTAATGGTCGTCAAATAAAATATGTGATTATCATTACAATATGTATTTTTTATGTGACCATTAATAGTTGAATAAAAAGTTGCATAAATTAAGTAATAATGTCGATATCTAGGGCGGATACATTTTCGCCTAATTGATACTTCCACTATAAGTGTGACTCAATCGAGCATTTATTTGTTTTTAATTTCATATAAACACGTAATCCACTTGAACGGTTGGCTGTTTTGCAAATTATTACAATTGTCATTATATTGACGACTCGATATGGCATTCTGTTGGGGTCACAATATGAGAAATTTGTGGATAACAAATCTAAGTGAGCCTCAACGACATCGGGCGGTGTACTCATACAATTGCGGTAAAAACTTACCATCAGTTTAGAAATTCCCTTAGGCGACGTCAGCTGACTAATTTCTCCACAAAGCATGCCGAATCTCTGCAATCAAATAAGTTTAGCCATGCGACTTTTGTCCTCGTCATGGGCAAGCCGACAGCGGACGATTATATTAAGTATCGTATTTTTTCAACTCCCTGACAAGAATAGCTTCTCCTATCCACTTAGTAAAGTGCATCTATAAGAC